ATCTTTCATTGTATATAATTATATAAAATATGTCACAGGAAATACATGAAGTAGGAGACTCTTTAATCTTTCATTGTATCGAGTATATAAAATATGTCACAGGAAATACATGAAGTAGGAGACTCTTTAATCTTTCCGGTAACTATTCCAAGTTCCTTAAAAAATCTCATGCCGTTAGTTAAGTGCCTGAGTATGAGATCTGGTAAAACCTAGAAATAACTGAATGAACAATATTACGAACCTTCGTATTTGATCAGAGAGAGGCCTTAAAAATACTTAACACAGACCTCAAGTATAATAAAGATCTTGGGTGGACTAGAAATTTATTACCTTTCTGATAGCATAGTCCAAGTAGTAGAAAAATAAATTCTGATTTTGAAGGAAATAAGACCAGTATTCCTTCAAAGCTGCACTGCCGCTCAACAACCAATCATGTACCGCGCACATCTTCAATTATGGTGAGGAATTTCAATACGTTGACGGCCTTAATCACCCTGGTAGTAGATAGGCCTAAAGCTCAAATAACCAACTGGTAGCATTGCAAAGCGACCTAATGATCCAATAAGGTCGATGATCTAAAAATACCCCCCCCCAAAAAAAAAACAAAAAAAAACGGTAGCGCACATTGTCTTGATACTGGCGCTATTTATAAAAATTCATTTCGCACATGGATTGAAAAATTGGGGGAACATTGGATACGACACGGTTAGCATTTATTTGAAATTTACTGAATTAAAGATAGTTACAGTCGATTCTCATATTTCTACTTCGATAACAATGTTTACTCACCCACGTCAAATTCTACTTCCACTTTCTTAGACCATGGCTGTATTGGAAGTCGGTACTCAATCTTGAAGCCAAGCACATCTAACATCCCTTCGGGTAACGCTTCCAATTTGAGGAGAACAGTACCTGGTTCATTGCTTAGGATTTCAACAGTAGGGATGCGCGGTTGTTCTGTATGGAATACATTAATATTTTACATCGGTTTCTTTCAGCTGTATATATCGAAATAATTCTCACAGGTTTGTTTTACTGCATTTTCCGCATTCATCATTGGTTTTGTCACAATACGTTTATAAGGCGATTATTAGTTCAAGCTGATTCTTAAAATACTAACATGTTACAACCTCAGCGGCAGCTTTAAAAGGACCAAAGACGGTTATTATTTTATTTATTGACTAAAAAAAGGATAAGCAGTTTTATGTATTTTTATATGCGATTAATGCATTTTTTGGTATTGCAAGTTTTTAATACACAATAGAAAACTGAAATTAAAGAATTCAACTTGCTTTGGAGTAAGATCATCAGTGTAATATATGAAGTTCTGGTAATGAACTGTAGCATTTTTTTATATTATTTATACGAAGCCGTATTCACACAAAGCTTTGTGTGGAAGAAAAAAAAAGAGAGGAGGGAAATGAAATGGATAAGGCCGTCTATAGTTAAGTATTACATAATATTAAAATACAGTCATTTTAATAACAACAAGTTTAAATAAGATTTTAAAGCCAGCAGATTACCCCTTCTACATACAACTCTAAAAAAATTATCCATCTTCCTTGTTTGACTGCAACATACTCTTACAGAAAAAAAAGAGAACACCAATTTGGAAGGGCTAGAGCCACTGTTTTTATACCAGTTTAGAATGGTTAGAGCCACTGTTTTTATACCAATTTAGAATGGTTAGAGCCACTGTTTTTATACTAGTTCAGAAGGGCTAGAGCCATTGTTTTTATACCAGTTTAAAAGTGCTAAAGCCACTGTTTTTATATCAATTTAGAATGGTTAGAGCCACTGTTTTTATACCAACTTAGAATGGTTAGAGCCAGTGTTTTTATATCAATTTAGAATGGTTAGAGCCACTGTTTTTATACCAGTTTAAAAGGGCTAGAGCCACTGTTTTTATACCACAAGACTAGAAGGGCTACATCCTTGTAGTTTAAATTCGTATACTAGGAACCCACTTTGAGACTAATAATGG